GGTCTTTCGCATGGTTAAAATGGCCACCGCCTTGTGGTCGACATACGAACGACGACCACCCTGTATTTGGTTTTAATTGAGAAGGGTCTGTGGTTAACTGCAACGTTCTAATTGGGATCAATAGGTTAACCAGCAGCACACTTCTCTTCTGGGTGGCCGTCCGTTCGGTAGTTCCATTCGACAGAAAAGTACATTCCCTTAAACAAGGCATACGAATGGGGAAATTCATGCAAATGGCAAAACAGACGAACACAGCAATTCTAGTTCATACGGATGGGTCTGTCACAGCCACAAGGCCAGATTATGCCCACTGCCCATCATCGAAGAACCGTTAAGTAGAGTGGCCGTAGATATAGTAGGACCCTTACCAAAACCCAGTCCCTCCGGCAAGAGATATATCTTGACCATAGTAGACTACGCCACCCAGTAGCCCGAAGCAGTGGCCCTCTCCAATATCCACACCGAGACAGTGGCCGAGGAGATCATATCGGATAGGGGTACGCAATTCACGGCCGAAGTAACCCACCAACTATGGAGAATATGTGGCATTAGGCCTATCGTGAACTCTGCGTACCACCCTCACTCTAATGGGTTATCTGAAATGTTTAATGGGACTTTAAAGCAGATGCTCCGTACCTTTGGAGAGGCCCATAGGGACTGGGAGCGATTCCTACTCCATCTGCTATTCGCATACAGTCTATGGGATTTTCTCCCTTTGAACTACTGTTTGGGAGAAGGGTGCGAGGGCCTTTAGATTTAATTAGGGAGCACTAGGAGGGGGAAAGTAGTACAGATGGGACACCCATTGTACCATATGTGCTGGAGTTCAGGGACCGCTTGGAGGCACTAACCCAGACCGTACAGGCCAACCTCCAGGCGGCTCAACAACCCCAGCGCCGATGGTATGATAGGGGAGCCAGGGACCGCAGCTTTCAAGTGGGATAGAAAGCTTTGATTTTAAAACCTGTTGTCAATGACAAGCTGCAGGCCGTCTGGCAAGGCCCATACCAGGTGATGGAACAGAGATGTGACACCACCTATGTGACAGGGAAGAGACGCATGCTCCACATGAATATGCTCAAATCCTACCATGAGAGGATAGAGGATGTGGCGGCGATATGCGCCTCAGCCTCTAAGGATCAGGAGAATCTTCCGCTACCTGACTTATTATAGCGGGAAGATCAGGCAGAGCCCTCCATGGGTGTTCAGCTGGGGGAGCGGCTAAGCCCCCAGAAGCATGCCCAGGTACAGGAGTTAATCCTAAGGGAGCCACTTTCTCCAATTTACTAGGGTACCCCCCCGCTAGCTACTTACCGAGCCGAGACCCCAGGACAGCTACCTATGCGGCAGACCCTATATCGTATCCCTGAAGCAGTCAGGGAACATATGAGGAAGGAGATTGAGGAAATGTTGCAGCTAGGGGTTATTGAACATTCCGATAGCCCCTGGGCATCGCCGGTAGTGCTGGTACTCAAGAAGGATGGCACAACATGATTCTGTGTAGACTACCGGAGGCAGTGTCTGATGCCTAACCGATGCCCAGGATAGATGAGCTGCTAGACAAGATGGCATGAGGCCAGTACCTCACTACAATAGATTTATGCAAAGGGTACTGGCAGATTCCACTAGCTGAGGATGCCATCCCCAAGTCGGCGTTTGTCACCCCGTTTGGCCTGTACCAGTTTCGAGTCATGCCATTCGGGATGAAAAACGCTGCGGCTACCTTTCAACGGATGGTAGATCGGCTACTGGACGGATTCCAGGGGTATGCATGTCTATATCTGGATGAAATCGCCATATACAGCAAGTGTCACATAGGGATGGCAGAGGTGCAGTACCTGGGTCACCGAGTAGGGAGAGGACAGCAAAAGCCCGAACCAGCAAAAATCGAAGCAGTAGCTAAGTGGCCTACCCCCCCGGACAAAACCTCAAGTGTTAGCCTTCCTGGGTACCACAGGTTACTACCGAAAATTCGTACCTAATTATAGTGCCCTGGCCAAACCCCTGACTGACTTGACCCGCAAGAACCTTCCTCAACAGGTCATCTGGGCCCCAGAGTGTGATCAGGCATTCCATCAACTCAAGACTGCTTTAACCAATGCACCTGTACTTGCTGCTCCTGATCCAACAAAACGATTTCTTGTCCACACAGACGCTTCAATGTTTGGATTGGGAGCAGTGCTGAGCCAAGTTGGAGCAGATGGCGGAGAACATCCCGTAGCTTACCTAAGCCGAAAGTTATTGCCCCGTGAAGTAAGATACACCACCATCGAGAAAGAATGCCTGGCCGTGGTGTGGGCCCTCAAAAAGTTACAGCCTTATTTATATGGACAACCTTTTTCCTTACTCACAGATCACAACCCGTTGGTGTGGCTGAATCGTGTGGCTGGGGACAATGCCAGGCTGCTGCGCTAGAGTTTGGCGCTGCAGCCTTTTGACTTTACTATTCATTACCGCCCAGGGAAGCAAAACGGTAACGCCGACGGGTTATCCAGACAAACTGACCTTGAGAAGTGATCTGTAAGTACTCCTCCTGGACATCCCCAAGCCAATCCGTTGGGATCAGACTGTGTATGCCGGCTTGGTTCTGGGGGAGCATTGTGGCAAGCCTAGCCACTTTAAGGCTTACTGTATAATATCAGAAGGTTGTCTGCTTTTATTGTGCATATGAATGTATTCGTGTATTTGCAATAAAGAGTATTCGAATGCTAACGGCCAAAAGCCGCTAGCATTCATATGGTAATTTCACAAACAGTGACTTTAGACACTGTTCGTGAAACTAATAAAGTACCGAATGGAAGCCCACACACAGAGGGTCGTGTGGCTCCCATTAAACGATTGCAACATTGTAGCAATCGGTAGTTAAGTGCTTTCCTGGGTGGCCGTCGTTCGGCTACCGACCACGCGGATCTTGGATCCTTTGTTAGCCCAGCGGTGTTTGGTCGTCGAGCGCCTGGAACTAAAATCAGCTACTCGACGGCGCGAACACCGCTGGACTTCCAGGCCATTCGAGAGCACCGGTCCTTCGGTATTTTGTTCCCTAATATGTATTCGGTACTTTTAATGAGAATGTAAAATAAAGTGTGTTTCGTGCGGCGTTCGGTTATTTGTGCTGGGATCTGAGCGGTACTTTCACGAAGTGTGCGCTCAGACCCCAGCTATCTACCGAACGGTCATTTAAGGGAATCACACGAATAATATTAAAGTTATGGATTTTTGTGTTAAAACCCGGTGCTGCTGTACGGAGGGATAATCCACTTAACAGGATATTTTAGTGGGAGTATCCCTCTCGTACAGCAGTGCATGGTGGGAAAAATGCTCTGTATATTCAGTTCCCCATGTAGTCCTCTACTGTATAACCCCTGTAAAGTGATTAAGGAAACCCCTTGCATGGGGAATCACATAAATACTGGAGCTGTGAATAAAATTGTCAGTTGACTCCCAGAACTGTGTTTTGTCCGGTTACAGGGGGGATTTGGGATATTGCCTTCTTTTCCAGCGCTTTACTTTGAATTATTTTCTGTACCAACAGAGATCTTGGGATTTAATATAGCAGCTCCGCTACACCCACAACTTTGAAGATGTTTTTATTTTTTTTTATTGTGAAGCAAACAACAAAAAGGACAAAATAACTGAAAAGGTCAATGTGTATAACTATTCACCCCCCTAAAGTCAATACTTTGTAGAGCCACCTTTTGCAGCAATCACAGCTCCAAGTCGCTTTGGGTAAGTCTCTATGAGCTTGCCACATCTTACCACAAGGATTTTTGCCCATTACTCCTGGCAAAACTGCTCCAGCTCCTTCAAGTTGGATGGTTTGCTCTTGTGAACAGCAATCTTTAAGTCTGACCATAGATTTTCTATTGGATTGAGGTCTGGACTTTGACTAGGCCATTCCAACACATTTACATGTTTCCCCTTAAACCACTCAAGTGTTGCTTTAGCAGTGTGTTTGGTGTCCTGCTGGAAGGTGATTCTCCGTCCTAGCCTCAAATCACGCACAGAGTGGTACAGGTTTTTCTCAAGAATATCCCTGTATTTAGCACCATCAATCCCTCAACTCTAACCAGTTTCCAAGTCCCGGCTGCTGGAAAAACATCCCCACAGTGTCAGAATATTTATATCAACAGACATTTTGTGCTAAAAAGAAATTAAAAGTGTATATTGCCAAAGCCACTCAGAACAAAGCAGACTCCATTTTGCTATCTTCAGGATAGCAGAGACATAGTTTCTTCTTAATTTCACTAACCAAGATAAGCAATTAAGCAAGGGGGATGGAATGCTCTGTCTAAATGTTAAAGGAATGTATTATCTAAACACAGACACTAGTGACAGAGAAGACTAAGTTATTAATTTTACTTTCTACATTTTACAAAGTACCATTGTAAGAAAGGGGTGAAATTGAGTTTAGAACTGTCAATTTTACAAGTTACGACCAAAGTAGTTGCCAAAAAGACTGAGACAAACGCTTTTAACTGACAGCAAATCTAAGTTATGGTAGTCATTTTAGATAAGCCAAATGACGTCAAAATCGTCATCAGGAAAAGTTAACTCTTTCCTGGATAGGAAGGTTTCGTTAGACGAGACTGCCATCTATGGATCAAATACCTAAATTGCGACCCATAGATTGAACACACTTACAGCTTCCTATTGGTTTATCAACTAATGACGTACAGAGAGTCTGGCCCTTTAAAAGTAAAGGCAAAGGGAAGACAGGGTAGTTGGAGTTGAGAGACAGAGAGAAGAATTGGAAGTTTGGGCAGAGGAATCCAGGACAATATCTGGGACTAACACTCTACCCTTAAACTCTCTTGGACATAAACTCTTAAACTCTTTAATACTTTTTATATCACTCACGTACCTCCATACAACCAATCAAGTTTCTGGGACTACCTACTCATCTGATGAGAATATCTACATAACTGGTAATTATGCTGGTTTTATTTAATTAATTTAAATTAATTAAAATTTACTAATAGCATGATATATGACTGGATAAATCACGGTCAGATTTCCATATTAGAAATCTTAGTTAACTAAAGAATATATAGTTATAAACATTCCATTCTGCAGGTGGAATTAAGAATAATTATATATTAATGTGATAGTATCACGTGTTAGCATACCGCTGTTTTTATCCAGGTGTATTGATTTGCTCTAAAATAAGATAAGATATCTTTTTAGGTAAATTAAAATTCGGCTTTTGTAAAAATCTGGTAGATTATTCTTATTGGATGGTTCCAGGAAATGACTAATGAACTGGTTCGAATGTTATTTTAATTGAAAATCACAGGAGAATAGGATACTATATGCCTAGGAGGATCCAGCCAGCATTGAAAGGGTTATTCAGTTGATTTAACTGTTATCCAGGGTTTTATGGCTCTTCGCTGTGAATAGTTTGCTTTCTCTGTCTGTAAAATACCTCATAAATCTTAAGTGACAGCTGGTGCTGTAGCCGTTGAACCGTGTTAGCCATTCCATTGTATTGCATATTATGTTATACTAAATATTCACTGATTATTATCATGCATGCTGCCTAATATTATTGTTAATTATTGGTCATAATAAATAAATCTATTTTTATAACACATTGTGATCATTAATTGTATGGAATACTTTTCACTTACATGATAAACGATCTCTAAGATCTAAGAGAATTGAAATAGTGGGCAATTCTCGACTGCTTAAAATTATCATCCCATAAATATCCCCACAACAGCATGATGCTGCCACCACCATGTTTTACTGTGGGGATGGTGTGTAACGGATCACCTGGCACCCCGACTGGGTACCTCTGTTGAAGGATGCTCCTAGCGCTTACAGAGGGCTCCAAGCGCTCCACAGACACCACAACCAGCGCAGACCTCACTAACCGCCGCAGCTGGGTTGGGGTCTCGCCGTCTCCTACCCACCCAGGACCTACGACAAGGCTCCAGGTTCCAGTGGGTGAACCTCTCCTCCACTCCAAGAGGAACAAGCTCTTAAAAGAGCTTAGTAGTGATTAGCTAAGGGAGTATGCAGAGCATAGCAATCCCTTGTAGTGATATAGCAATTACCCCAATAAGAGACAGGACTCGAGATTGAGGGTGAAGAAGAACTGACTGTACTGGCACATACAGCCTCTTTTATTCACATTCTACAAACATAGTACTGCCCACAGGGTTTTGAAGAACAACCAATCAACACATTATAACACAGCTAACACTCTCATTCATTACATCAGAAATCCTCCCCTCTGCCTGTGATACAATTATCTCAACTGTCATGTTACATGATATTGTTTTATTATAATGTACTGTTTCTTTAATGTTCATCTTAAGTTTGTCCCTTGGGCCTCTCCATAGTTTGCACGCTGCTCCAGGTACTCCCCTCCCCCTTTCCTGTTCTAGTGTATTCTATGCTGTACATTCATATGTGACTTGTTTCTCTGCTATCCTCTATGGAAGAATTGTTCTTTTACCTGTCGTAACTGCACATCCTAGAGATCATACGACGAATAAACACCGCCAGATCTTCTTACATGTGAGTTGTGACTGAGTAAACTATCTGGGAAGGTGATTTGGTATGGATAATCTCATCAGGGCAATGAGCGCCATGTGCTCCTGAAAAACACATTCATAGCCTCTGCAGCCGGTCCAGAATATCAACACAATAGACTAACTTAATTATCACAGGCAGGAAAATACAGTATAATAAAACATATTACAGGGACACCAAAACATGCAATAACCCCATAAAAATATATCCTCGGAACCGGGGGATCTGGGTGAACCACATATCCAAAATTCACCCAAATCCGTTCAGTAGTTTGGAAGATGCAGTTTAATACAGATTCCGCAGAACATATACAGGCTATATAAAAAATAATTACTGTATAATGTGTCCCCTGTTCTGTAGTTTAAAACTACTGAACGATGTCTTTGTGCACCAAATACCGGCGAGATGGCACCGTGTAGAAAAGTCAAAATAGTGTCTGTGAGTTAAAATGGCTGCCATCCATTGTTCTCACCATGTGCCTCTGATACATGAAATAGTGGCCACCCAGTAACTCCACAGTATGTCCCCAGATGGTTCTTAAAGGGCCAGCAGCATCATAATAAAATACAGTATGCCCAAATCAGTTCCTTAAAAAGCAATACATCCCAGGGCCATAGTCTCAGGGCAGGAGGCTGGCAAACAGGCCCCTCCAAAAACCAGTGGCGAGGCCACATATCTCCCCTTTGGGGGG